TGATCGTCGGACCACATGGCAACGTTCGGCTAATGATGGGAAGCCAACGAATATAATAATGGCATAGAGACTTTTTTCTATTACTTTCATGTGTAACGAGATGAAATACTATGTAAGTATTATATTATTTATAGGTATATCTGACAAGCACGCGTTTTCTTTAACGTGAGTACCTAATGTTAATTGGACGTAGTTAAACAAAAAGGGTCCAATACACATACAGTAACTTTCGAGATACGGCAGTTTGAAGTTTAAAAGTGTTTCTCACTCTTGTTTTATTATCAAAACTTATAATGTGATGTAACTCCAAAGATATTTATTTATGTTTATGTGTTGGATTTTTTGCTGATCTAAGTGGTTAGACTTTAGGAACCTTTTGGTACATATAACTAATTTTTTTGATAATTTTGTGGATTGGATCTTTTTGCTTAACTACGTCCAATTGTATGCATAGTGTTAATAGAGATTTGCACATGAAAACTATGTACAATGGGAGATATACATTTTTTATGAATTTTCGTAAGCCTCCGATGAAGTTGTGTGTTTTGATATACTTAGGTACCTGCATAATTAGCTTCTCGAGTTTTGTATACAGTTATTGGGCGCTAGGCATTGACAAATTAAAGAAGAATTGGTTTTGCATTGAATCGTAATGCAACTAATTTGTCTTATTCCCCGATCCTTTTAGAAAAACAGCCCCCATGTCCCTTACATTAAATTTTTTTGCAACAATACAAAGTGATTCAATAGCAAGTCGCAAAGTCCATTGAGGACCATTCGCGTGCGAATAAAAGTGGCCTCGGGCTACCGATACCCGCTAACTACTTCAAATAACTCTCAACTGAATAAACGTATAAGTAAGTACACTTATAACACTTTTAAGTGCTTGTAAAACACTTTTATGACTTTCTAAAGCTGTTTGTAAATTTAATCTGTTTGCAACAGCTCGACGTGAACAGTTTTTTTCGATATGAATTAGGTTTTTCCAAAATTTCATTAGCTATTGTCTATCAGCGATCTTAATCAATAAATGGAATGTATTATAAAACGTGCTTACCCTTACGATATAATGAATTGATGACTATGGTCGTGGTTGTCATACAAATTGGTCAACAGTAAGCGTAGCGCTATTTCGCCGCGGCCTTCGGGAGCAGAGTGGCGCAGTGGAAGCGTGCTGGGCCCATAACCCAGAGGTCCGTGGATCGAAACCACGCTCTGCTAATTAATACCAGCTTTCTCTTATAACTTTTTGGTTTTTTTTTAATTTTATTTGAAATAGCATGTTCTACACAAATGTGTACCTTTGTATCCACAAACGTACACATTTGTGTAGAACATGACAAATTTATGTGGGTATTATATGTATATATACTTGGCGTACAACTAATTTATCTTTAGGCTAAGAAAAACATTAAAATGTTAGCATAAAAATCATAAAAAGCTTCTCAGTAACACTTTAACCGTTATCATTTCAGTGAACAAACAGGTTAGAAAACCGAGCGTTTGTAAATAACTATGTATTTCACAATCAAAAACAGTTTCTTGTTTTCCGAGCTAGCCGTGCCCCAGCTGCTAACCGCCACGGCGCTAGCGTAGAGCCATCGAGAGTTTAGTATAAAAACAAACCGACAAACACAAATAGGCGACGTTTGCTTTATCATGGGATATTGATAATTTGCCGCACGTGCTCGTTGGATGTTTTTCTTTTTTCGGCTTCGGTGATGCCCCAGACCTTTGTACGCTTCCATAACAAACAACACAGCGTTTTCACGGTTACATGCTTACAGTATACCCTACTGATAGATTATCCTATTCTAACTGTGTACCTCAAAAATATTGCACAGATAAGAGGTAAAGAAATATTACAACTCTATTGGAATTTATTTTCCATAAATGTTGTTTGAAAGAAAAGTCGTTGTTGCTTACCCAAATCTTCACCCTTTGAAATGCGGTGCACTACTTACTGGATACTTCGGATAATGCAGGTGGGTATGTGATTCTAATTCCATTGTTGTTATTTTTTATTGGTTCTCTCGTAAAAAGCGTAATGAACTGCAAAATATATCACTAAGTAACTACAACGTAACTACTGGCCTCTCGCATCTGACGTCACCCTTCCAACTTCATTACGTCACCCCTCACGCATTATCATGCAAATTCTAATTTTAAACCACTTGTTATCTAGTTAGCGCCCAAAAATACCTACCTCCAATGCAGGGTGCTCAGTCCCTTCTGCCACACCCTAAATTAGCCGACGGCCGCCAACTTCACCGAACATAATCGATGGCAATTGACAAACGAAGCGTTCTTCTGTCAAATTCTAGTTTTCGGTAACAAAAGACTAGCTAACATAGCTGTGCTGTCGAAAAAGACATTTGTCAAGCTAATTGTTGTGTAATATGAGTTCGAGAGTAGCAAAAATATGTTGGTTCCAGAATGTAGCCGGAGGTGAGTAAATGGGGGCTTGTTATGGTAATAGGCGCCCCGGGCCACGACAGCGGTAGGGGCGCTAGCGCAACATGTGCAAGACGTTCGAGTGGTCATCGATTCGAGAGCTAACGACGACCTGAGGCTCCAGAACAGCGAGCGCTTTGGCAATTGATTTATCCTGGCGGAGAATAAATGGACTTACAAAATTGTTACTATCACCCATCTGTAAACTAATGCATCCAAAGAACAATGTAATTAAACTATTCGGATCATTAAAGTAATGACTAAGCCTTTTATTGTCCTTTAAACTCTTAAAAAATACCCTCTTATTTACGCAGGCAGGAAATAAAGTATAAATCACAAGGCTGTTGAGTCTCCACTTAATATTTAGGTATGAAATTAAAAGCACCCCCGAAGCAGGGACACGAAGGGTTGTAATGCCTAATGACTGAATTTATGAACTTGGTGCTTTATTTTAGGGTCAGTCGATGAAATTGCTGTCTAGCGTTTGGTGATACTACAAATTTACTTTTTTAAAATACAGTAGGTAACACTGTAAAATAAATAACTTTCTATTAAAAAAAGGGGTAAACAAGTATGTTTATCAGCTGCTTTATTGGAATTACATCATATTTCGCATCATATTTGCCACGTTTTATAGAAATCGGTTAGTTAGCCACTCTTGAGGTGGAATATTTTCTTCACATTTAAACGGGACAAATATTGAGGTAACCTTTTTCCAACTAAAAAAGAATCATCAAAATCGGTTCACAAACGCCGGAGTAATCGCTTAACATACACACAAAAAGAAAAACACAGTTGAATTGAGAACCTCCTCTTTATTGAAGTCGGTTAAAAAATTTATAGTCATAAAAAATTTATAATAATAAATTCATAATCAAATGCGTCCAACGATGTAACAATCTTGATATGTAATAAAATATTAATATATAAACAGCGGTGGTGGTTTAATTGACAAAGATTGCTTATCAATTAAGAGGTCGACAGTTCGAGTTCTTGTGGCATGTACAACATACAACTTTGGTTTCTAAGTTACCTATATTTGTGAATGCAACAATGATGGTGAAGGAAACATGTATTTCAAAATGTAGATATTCATAGATTTGCGCCATTTTATCAGCAAAACATGAGGACTGTTTTATTGTGTGCACTTGTACTGCCTCTTGTAAATCATATTTTAAGCAAATAAATATTTATTTGCTTAAATACTGTCTCCGTGGCCGAACGGTTACTAAACCGACTGCCATGCAGAGGTCCCAGGTTTGATACCCGGCCCGGGAGAAATATTTGTATGGCCTACATTTATTCCTCTCGTGAGTTTGGATGTAATTTGTGGTTGTCTATGTGTGTGTCCATGGCACCCGCGGCACAGGGTTTCCCTAGTGTAAGGCTATGTTAAGTGTGTCCGTGTCCGTTATTATTCATTAACATAGTGATGTCACCTGCATGTCGAAGAAGGTCCACCATTCATGGAAAATTTGTCAAGTTTTCGGCGTGGCGGATTATGATCTAGACCCTTTTAAAGGAGAACCGTGCCCAGCTGCGGGACGTAAAATCTGTTGATGATGCTGATGCTGAGTAAAATCTCTTGCTTACTATAAAGTTTCGAATGACCAGTGACGTCTACAATTCATTGTAAAACGAGTGACTGCAATATCAACCCCTTCGCTTATCTCGTTTATTAAAGAGAAGTTTTCGTCTGCGGATTATTTGCTTTCATGAAATGCATTCGCCATGACATGAACTCAATCTGAGAGGATTTTGATCGAGTGCAACACGAATTGAGTTCAGAACAGTTCCTCTGTTAAGTACAGAATATCGGTGTAAAGAAGAGTGTCCAGTTTTTTATGTAGCAAATTAACGAGCTTCTAAAAATATTTTCTCACGTACTTTCGATGTAAGTCAGATTAGCGTTAACAAGGCGTGCCATAAATATCTAATGGACGTTATTTGTCAGCGGACACTTGTCTAAATTCACAGCTATCATTGATTTACGGTGGGGCCATAAACCGCGGCGGCGCCAGAAATGAGCCGCGGCCGCAGTCGCTGCCCGCGCGGTATGTCACGTATCCCATGACGCATGCCTTCGCCATATCGCCTTGATGAGGCCGTGCTGAGCCTCTAAACACATACTTCCATTATTAAAATTCCACTGGAAATTAAAAAATACGCTTATTACTAGTATTATAAAGTTTTTCAAGCAAATATAACTTTATGTTTTTGAAAACTGTAGTAATTTAATAAATTTCTCAAAAATTATTTTATATTATATTGTTCTCTTTGTAATATCCCCAGAGCATATCATGCATAATGAAGCAAAATTATAGTATCGATTGAATCACATTGTAATTGGTTGATTGGTTTTTAGTGCAGATTTAAAATATCCATACGTAGTCGAACAGTTGTTATGCCACATGTCTTACAAAAGAAGATATGCATTATACGAGCACATTTTGCATTTTTATAGAATGACTACCTAAAGTGTTGTATACTTTTAAGAAATTCCATGTATTAAAAAAATATACATTATCCGTTAATCTTTTACTTACATTTGAACGCACGCGATATCTCCATCCCTTTCTGTCGCTCTGTCTCTGTCACATTTTGACAGGTACGGATTACCACGTGACACAGTCACGGCATCACGTGACTGTCACCGAGGATTACAGCTCGTGTCGCTGATAATTAACCACTGATACTAAGTTTCTAGTTCCATATATATAGCCACTTCGTTATCGTATTTAAAACAGCTTTGTAGAATTATGTTTTGAAATGTTGACACTCATTACACTTGGACATTTTACTAGTGAAGTCGACCGGGTTATTTACATTACAAAAGTGGGATTTTAAACATTTTTACACGCGTAAAAAGTAGGAAAGCAGCTCTTTCGCTGAAAGACGTGGCCGCACTGGCTGAACGGCGGCACTCTCAACTAAATTTTCAATTCAAACAGGGTCTTTATAAGGGTAGTGACGCTGTACAAAATTTACATATCGACGTAATAAAGCAAGCGGGTGTCTGATTTGAATTCTGGCCGCGCTTTTATGGATTTTTGTTTTGCGCTTCGCGTTGTCCCATCGGCGCGATTCGCTTTTGTTTCGCTGTTTAACCTACTCTGGAAAAGCAAACTGCGATTCGTTTAGATCGCGGATCAGCGGGATATGTTAAATTGAAATTGAGACTTGCTTCTCGTTTATGAATTGTAAAATACATCTCTATTTTCAAACCTAGAACGATATACGCGTATAGTACGCTTATTTGATTTGGCTTGTGTACATAAGTTTGCATTAATCACGTAATGCCGTACGAGGAAGTCCGTGACAGTGCATATGCGTAGATCTAACATTCTGAAATTGAAGAACATAATATGCCATAGTGTGTTTATATTAAAAGTTACGCGACCATGTTTGTCACATTAAAAAGCATATGTCGAGAACGATATTTTGTTGGGCGCGATGATTTACTCGTTCCTTCCGTTCTCCCCCTGTCACTCATATGCTTGTACCTACACGACGTTTACCTAGAGAAAATTTCCGCTGAACTTGCCTACAACAGTTTGAAACCACGTAAGTGGTCATCACATACTTGGCCGAGTTCTAAGAATACATACCCAGACAATCATAGGATTGCTATAAAGCATGGCATCATTTCAAAATCCATGTGCAGTTTAGCATTCGCTGCGATGGCTGGATCATAAAATGACACCGCCGTCGATATTCGCAGTCGGTTTATAGCGATTCACTAACTCGTAAAGCAAACGGGGTGTGGTGGTTTATATCAATATGATTACTCTTTATATTACATACGATTTGGTTATTGTTTGTTATTTTAGTTGAACGTTTCGATTTTTGGAATCTGTAACGTTGTGTTGTTTTGAGATTTTTATTTACATACAGACATAATGGCGGTGGTGACGCAGCGGGAAAATAATTGGGTATGTACCTGTCAATAACGTAATTTCTAATTTACGTGCATTTGTAAAATTTAGTAGCAATAACTCTTGTTACCGAGACGGAAAAGATCATAATGAAATTAACTAGCCGAAAAAGGTTCACAAACCCAGTCAACACTTTGACCCCTCAAATGATCAGTAGTGGGACGTCCATGAATTGACAGTAATAGCTGTTTTTTTTTATAATTCCAGGGACGGGCCGAACATGTCAAGTCGGCCTGGTGTTAGGCGACACGCCAAAACATATTAGTTACAGTGTCACTTAAAAGCTTTAAGCCGCAAAGATCTGAGGGTCACTGCCGCTGCGTCTGTCACCCTGAGACATAAGTTGGCAAGTCTCATGTGCCTGTAATTGCTTCTATCGCCGAACGGTCACCATGCCAGAATACCCGGGTTCGATTCCCGGATCGGGAGAAACTTTTTTTAGGTACATTTATTTCTCTCGTGAGTTTGGGTATAACTCGTGGTTGTTTTTGTATGTGACACAGGGTTTCCCTAGTGCGAGGCTATACTGATTGTGGGAGTTATTATTATTATTAATTTCTCCAGCACCCTAACTCTTCAAAAATGGGACGTGGTAATGCTCTGATTACTACTTGGTGGCAGAAATAGGTAAGGTGACAGTACTTCCCAGGAGAACTCTTTCACAAGGGTTTCTACTGTTAGTAAAATATGGAAGAATTATTGGTCTTAAAGTAGTTGTCCCTATCTACCGACCCGAGAGATAGGGTTTTCCGGAGAGACTACGAGCTCGACGGCAGGACCAGGGTACGGCGGGCGTCCGGGCCAAGCCCTCCGCCAGTTATAGCCTACACGGGCGTCTCTGGCGGAGCCGGACTTGGGTATGGACTCGCCGGGACTTGTGGTTGGCTTGCGGGACGAACACAGTGAGTGGCCGCAGCGCGCAGCTAGCGCGTCTTAGTAGCAGTCTAGATGAGGGCCTGAGTCACCTCAGGGGACGAGACGAGCGGGGCACGAGATGCCCTTCAAGTTGGAAGGTATGTCCGAACAGTGTCGCAGGACACTGCGCCAATGTACCTGCCTGGAAAATAGGAAGGATACTGTACGTGCACCCGGGGCGGCTAACCCGAGGCCCTCGCCTCTCGAGAACCGGATGAAGTCAAGTGATAGAGGTCTGTGACCCTGTACACTGGTTGATCTGGGGTCAGAACCTGAATATATAAATTTCCTGTGCACGCATAGGTTATAGGGCCCTTCTCATATACCCTAAGGGTTGGTAGGGAGGGTCACTATAATCAAAACTAAAGTAGAAAGATATGGGGCTGGCCTTAAAGTATGGTAAAGATTAATTTATAGATGAGAAAATAAATAGAAAAAAGGAAAGCTACGTCACTATTTACATAATAACATCAAATTGCACTATTGTACACGATAATTTAAGTAAATAATACTCCACTACAATAATTTATTGTGTATTTAAGGAGACGAGAGTGAGAGTCTGTACATTAATAATTCAATTACGCTTAGGCAGTCTGTGATTACAGCTCATTACCATGACATGCTAATTGCTGATGGCCGTCTCTAATGATTGTATTGTTTTTGTTTTGTAGTGTAGGCGATTGGCGTTTCTTGCGCTTTTAGACTATGGTTTGGAATATATATGCGTTTATTCTTGACTAAACATAATGCGTTGAATTTGTTGTACAAAAACCAATATTTATGGAATAAAGTTGAGTGATAGAGTGAAGAATATAGTAATACGATGCGGCTTGAAACAGGAGGTGACTAGAACAGAGAGAGGAATGTTGAGGTGGTTTGGGCGTGTAGAGCTAGTGGATGCAAGAAGATTTGTGACGCGAATATGGATGGAAGGGTTTTAAGAGGACGTCTCAGGACTTACTTAAATCAGATCAGTAATGTCCTCAAAAAGGCTGGGATCCGAATGACAGAAATAAAAGAAGGTGTATGAACAGGGTAGTTGATGTATGTGAGTCTAGAAAGTTCTGTCAGGATATAGTAAGGTGGCGTTCCGTGCTCTCTGCTTACCCCTCATGTGGGACAAGGGCGTGAGTTTATGTATGTATGTAGGTACAAAAACCAATATGCGCTTTTATCGGTATAGCCGCGGTAAATACTTATGCACTGGTCGCCGGTTTATAACCAAGTGCTTCTGCTAAGTCAGACCTCTGGTAATTGGAGGTGGGACATTGTTTGGTTCTTATTTTTTTTAAATGTCATATTGTACAATGAAATCGTGTTGAGACGCGATGATCAGCGTGGCACGTTTGCGGCCAGTATCGATTTTCCGCCCCCAACTTTGTTGACAAAGGCAGGTTCTTAGCCAAATGAGATGCACCCCAAAGAATATTATGGGCAGACATCGCTTCACTGTCGCTAGATATATTGTTGTGAGTATAGGCCCGCGGCCTCATATCGCCACTTTATTGATCCTTCAGCCTGCCCAACCGGGGTTTTGTTTGGCTGCGCTATATTAAATAGCTGTTTTTCAGTCTGGGATAAGCTCATGTCAATATAGCTCAAACGAAATTCGGTTCACATTATCCTCTTATAAAATAACACATTCATATAATCTCGTAATTACAGATTTGAAAAACTATTGAAATGCTTCGAAATCTGGAAATAACATTTCTTGCACATGTTGGCTGTACATTCTATCAAAAATTGCACCAAATATGTGTATCATTCTGCCACCTTTTCTACGTGTGGTACTTGACACAACCAAAAACAAAACTACCACATTGGTACACCAGAATCAATCACCCCAATACACGAGCACCGGCAGTTGAACAACACTTGTGCATGCAAATGTATTTCCCACATACATTATTAGCGGCGACTCAAAAAACAGCGCAATGTTTATCTTTATTTATTTACGTGTTACCGAATACATTGGCATAATGCGCGTATGATCGCACACCTACTATAAAAAACAGAAGCTTCAAACACAACCCTTTTAGACGAAAAATTTATCGTACATTGATGGCTATGTGCATAACTACCCTTAAACGCTTTCTTTTTAACGAGCAGTGAATATAAAACGATTGACGAAATTTGAAAAACGTAAATTTTTTTTCGTCTATTGAATAATAAACGTTTGTGTGCGTTCAGACGACTGCGTTCATATGCAAATCTAAAGCTACTACAACAACAAGGGTGCTAATGCTTACCATTAATATTTGAACGCAACTAAAGATAAAAATGTTCAAATCTCTAATCTGCTTGAGCGGCGATGGGCGGACGTGTTCGCTGAGAAAATAGAGTGATTTCAGAATCGACACTGACACATTGTGTCATACCATCTACTGAATTGTATAATAACAAAATGATTTTGTAGTGCTCAAAAGGAAAGTGTTTTGTCCTCAGTTACAAATACTAAATAATCTATCATTTACGTTCTTTGTTAATCAACTTAATTAAGAAAAAAAGAAGTTTAGTATTATCAGTTTCCAATAGTCATAAAGCAGCCGTCGGAGAACAATACTAAACACACAGTTGAAGGTACTAACGGAGCACATAATGGCCTAAATGCGATTCAATTAGCATTATAGTAATGAGATGTAATTACAGGCTATCGATGAGCGGGCGTAATCCATTTTTTAGCTTCATTTAATAATTAATAATAAAATGTAATTAATAAATAATTTATATTGCAATAATAAAATAATTTGTAAAACTTATGTAGCACAAATTGCAATGTTCTTTGGAAAAAATTAAAAAT